CTGCTAGCCAGGAACTGGTACAGCAACACTTTTCCTCTCTTACGTTACTACTTTTCTGCCAAAAAATGTGGTTTCAACTGAAAAAAATCCATACAATCAGGTGGTATTTATCTGAAATGCTTCCTAATCAATAGATTTCCTATTTTTGCATCCATTATCTGCCTTTAAAATCAGTAGCATATAGCCTGCTCTAAGAACAAAAAAAAGCAGACAAGAAAAAAGTGTATAGATTATTTTACACTCCAAATACTGTTGATGCTTATTAACTTCAACAAGACCTACAAATTCAGTAGCATAAAACAAAGTTCATCTCCTTACTGCTTTAATGAAGCTGAGATTTTTTTCAAGTGTGTATTAAAGTCCAGTATTTTTAAAATTATTATTTTTAATAATTTTTTTAATCTCTTACTCGTGAGTCTGTGTGTGGAAATAAATGCAGGGAGTTTAACAGGCTGCAATAGAAGCTAGTGTTATACTCATTCAAACAAACTAAAGGTCTACAAAAACATGTCAATTAAATTAACCTATTCATATTCTGCATTTTAGTTTCATTAGCATGACGACAACATATTTCTGAAGAATTCAGTATTTTTAAAAGCGCCCAAAAGTTAGGAAGAAAGTGAAGATTCAGAAGTTCCTTGCGGAAGACTGAGATGAATAATCTACCATCATTAGACAGAAGTCAATGTGTTATCAGGTTGCTGTGTCAGAAATTAGGCCTTTATCATTTAATAAGTACTAAATTCAGGTGTTATCTATCCAAATTAACAACAGGTTTTTATAAAAAAGGGAAATTAAAAGGATGACACGAATGACTGTGGAGATACCAAACACCTTATTCTCTTAACAGTTCTTTCGGCAGAAGCATGGGCACACTTCACATAGTACAGAAATCAAGTACTAGTTACTAGTGTCACACAAAAAATCTGTTGAAACAAAGCTTGCCCTCACAATCCTTTTCTGCCATTAAGTTACACTGCACTTTCTGCTGCTTCTTAAAAGTTCTATTAAAGTAAGAGTAAATTTTAAATCAGATTCTGTATTAAAACTATCAATTAAATATGCATCATCATCCCTGTAAGAGCTTTACAAGTAACACAATTTAAAAAAAACATTCATAGAATCATAGAATGGTTAAGGTTGCAAGGGACCTGAAAGATCAGATTCCAACCTCTCTGCTATAAGCAGGGACACCTCACACTACAACAGGCTCCACAAGCCTCATCCAACCTGGCCTTTAAACACCTCCAGGGAGGAGGCATCAACAACCTCTCTGGGCAACCTATTCCAGCAACTTACTGCCCTCATGGTGAAGAATTTCTTCCTAATGTCTAACCTAAATCTACCCTCTTTCAGTTTTAAAAACCATTACCCCTTGTCCTACCACTGCCCTCTCTGGTGAAAAGCCCCTCCCTAGCTTTCCTGTAGGCCACCTTCACATCTCCCTGGAGCCTTCTCTTCTCCAGGCTGAAGAGCCTCAACGCCTTCAGCCTGTCTTCATAGGAGAGGTGCTCCAGCCCTTTGATCATCTTTGTGGCCCTTCTCTGGACCCTTTCCAACAGCTCCATGTCCTTCCTGTGCTGAGGGCTCCAGACCTGTACACAGTACTCCAGATGCAGCCTCATCAGAGCAGAGTAGAGGGGCAGACATTGTATTAAAAAGAATCTAACTTAATATTAGGAATCTAATCTCCACTGAATCTACAAGAGACAAGCATATATACATTTATTTTATATGTATGTATCACCTGTAAAAAGATTTTTCAATTTATAAATAGGAAACAAAAGCATTTTGAAAGTTCAGCCATGTTCTCTACATTTCACTTTTATTTTTTTTAATATTAGGATTCTGTGATGTCCAAGTATATTCAAACAAAAGCAGTGCCAGTGACAACTGGTTTCCCATTATCTCTTTCTTGTGGCTGACAAATTGTCTTTTTTATGGCTTAAAGAAGAGGAGGCAAGCTAAAAGCAAATTTCTCCAAGTAGGTGAGGTTTCTATGTGAACAGACACAAACAAGTCAGCAGAAGCAAAACAGCTCCCATAAATCAGGTGATTGCTTCTAATCCTCCTTTTGTATCTAATCTGAATTCTTCATCAAGGAGCAGTAATTTACCACAGTTCCCAAGCAGGAAAGGGAAAAGCTTTGTGCCAAGCATTCTACAGGTAGGCCTGGACACTTGAAGGTCACAGGGCAACATCTAACTCAACACTTCATATGTTTCTGGAAGGAAGGCCTGTTATTTTAGTCTGTTACGTAAGAGTTCTCCAAATTATCTAACACTTGGAAGCTTCTATGCCAGGGCTTGTTCAAATATTTAAAAGGCATTTGACAAGTTTGTTTACAAGCAGACTAAGGACTTGCCTAAGGGGCAAAGTGACTAATAAAATATAGAGACCTATCCATTGCAAAAAAATGCATCTGTCAAATCTAAAGTTGATTATAACTTTCTGTGGTATTTTCTAATAGCCTAGAATCACAAATGAGGCAGAATTATAAAGCTAACTCCTGCAGATATTTATATGCACTCAGAGGATAAAGGCACAGACCACTCAATTCTTACTTTTATACTTCCAGCATCATGCCCATTAATGCTGCCACAGCAATAGCAATCAAAGAAAATATAAATACACATAGCACTAATCATTTTACTTCAAATTAAATTTAGCCTATTGGCAATTCCCTGAAAGTGAATGCTACTGGAAACTCAGTTATCTTCATCCACCAAAGCTGACAGCTTAAGTCCACTGGTCACACTGGTCTGTCTGCCTCAAATCCTGTTGCAGGCAGAATCCCTCTATAGGAAGGAAATAGTCCTGAAACTAATCAAATCTTGGGTCACCTGTTGGGAAAAGTCTCTGTAGCAGATTCCTGTAAACATACATCCACTAAAAATTGCACTGTAAATCAGCCAACTGTAAAAACATTTTCTAATAATTTGAGAATGTAAAATTTAATAATGTAGCAGAGATTTTAAAAAAGACTACCACCTGTTTCAAGTTTAGTCCTGTAGCTTGAAAGCAGACCTTAAGAAAAAAAAAAAAACATGTATACTACAAAACTATGTCAATAATATGAATATTTTGGGTAGCTTAACTGCCTTTTAAAGCAAATAAATGTCAGAAAAAAATTCTAAAAAGTGATCTATCTTTTCAGAAGGTGTGCACTCATCATTTGAGATTTTTGCACTGAAAGTTACAAAAAATATAAGCAGAATGTCACTCCATGTGCAGAAGGTAACTGCAACCTTTCCTAAATTACTCGATAGCTTGCCATGTTGCTGTGACATATTCCAAGTTATATGCAAGATATTCACATTAATTACTGCTTCCTGCTTTCACTTCTCTTGACAGGGTTTATTTATTTTGTGTGTCAACATAGATGACCTAAAAAGATGAAGGTTCAGAAGAGAAGCACATTCTATGAGTTAAATATCTTAGACATAGAATGTAAAAAGACCTAAAAAATCATTTTGTACTCTGAATGCCTCCAGAAACACTAATACCAACCAATGGCTGGAGAAGAGAAGTATCATGTAAGTGTAATCGATAAAACACACATTATATGTATACAAGATGAAACAACAATGTTCTACAAATAAATAATAATTTAGCAAGCATGAAATGACTTTAAAATTATGTGAGAACACAAAATATAGAATCATAGAATGAATCAAACAGTTTAGGTTGGAAGAGACCTGTAAAGATTATCTATTTACAACCTTTCTGCATAGGCAAGGTCACCTGTAAAAACTCCCTCTCCAGCTTCCTTGTAGACCCCCAATATCCTATTCCTTCTTTCCACTCATTTGGGTTTCTCTTTCCTTTAGCTGCTTCACAAGCTCCTAATATATTTGATATTTAAATAGAGAGTTTGTTAAAGGGACTAAAAGCTGCTATAAATCAAACAAAACTTAGGATGCAATTACAGTTCTTCTAAACCTGTGTGTAACAGAACCAAAACGTGAACTTAAAACAATGAAATAATTTGAAAATGAAAGTTGAACACATTTTTTTTAAAAAGAATAAAAACCTGTGGTATGGTGGATGGGATGACAGTGGTCTCAGCAGGGACTGGTGGGACAGGGATCACAGGGACAATAGGAGAAGAGGAAGGAACAGCTTCTGTGGGCTAAAGAAAAAAATCACCAACAAGATGTCAAAAAAAAAGGAAAACTAAAAATACTTTAAAACATTTAAGATTCTAATTTAGCAGCTTAAAAAAAAAAAAAAAAAAAAAACAGAAAAAAAACAAAAACCAACAACAACAAAAAACCCCACAACAACTCTGAAATAACATATGATTTTGGAGACTGTAACCACAACTGAAGACAACCACCTTCAAGCATGCTGTCCATGGTGGTGCAGCAACATGCTCATGGCAGAGCAAGCACAGTAGTAAGACACATCCACACTGCCTATTCAATCCAAGCTACTCGCCTTGCAACACAGAGTTGGGTCCAACAGAAACCCTGTTCATTTCAATGGACAGATTGAGGCTTTTTGTGGGCCGGTTTCAAAACAAAAAGCCCTTTATCATTATACAACAGTTGCAAAAGCAGACACAGCAGCCAAAGCTGATAGCACTCAACGTTAAGACTCCTTTTTCGTAAAGGGGAAAAATCAGAAGTACCTTAAAGTTTCTAAACCAGGCAAAAAGCAAAGGTAGTCTTTTAGTCAATTGGGTGGACAATCTTAAAACAGATTCCATCTATCTCTCAACGATCTTCATAAACCTTTACTGTACATCTTTAGACTAGTGGAATTTTGATAATAGGAATTGTCATTAAAATATTAACTGGGAAAGCTACTGACACGTCAAGGGAAAAAGATTAGAAATAGCATTTTGAGCAAAACATTGACTCAAATAATTCTGAGATGTTAACACACTGGTTGTCAACAAGCTGTCAACAACACAAACTACTGGCAACTATCATCAAAAGTCAAGCTGAACACTATATGAAAAGCTCTTGTAACTTAGTTGTTCCAAGACATTCCTGTGATCTTTAAATGTAACAAAGCATAAAGACAACAGAAGATACTAAAACCTGAAAATGGATCAAAACCCCAAAACGCAGAAGTATTAAACATTTTAAAAGCTTGAGATATTTTAAAACACAATGTAACATACACAAATAGCATACACCAAATTAAAAGGTAATAAATGGTAAAAGGAAATACTAAAGAAATATGAAACAGCCCAAGAGTGGCAATCCTTACTAAATGTACATATGGTGTTTCTACGGGGAAGGGGGAGTTGGGGGGGGG